TGGTGAGCTCTCTCCCTGTGGCGCAGCGCGTGCTCCTGGTTCAGCGTCCCTCTTTGCTTCCGCACAGCCGAGCTCCCCCTTGGGCCAGCCGGGACCCTCCAGTACGCTTTGCTGACCCCCCCGGTGACGACTGCAACTTTCATAGAGCTGGATTTGAAGGTGAGAGCTATGCTCCACCAAGGTGTGGAGCGGTGGTATTTCTCACATCCGTTTGCTTGGAGTTGTCCTGCTCAGCCTTGGGCAGCAGAGGCTTTGGGAGGGGTGCAGGTGTGTGCTGGTGGCGTGACATCACCCCCCCGCCGCCTCCGCTCCTCGTTTTCTATGGATCTTGTTGCTCCGTTTCATTATTGAGACTGCAGAGCAAAGCACCCACTGCCTTGTGCATGGTCCAAATGCAAATTGTGGAAACAGACCTGTGCTCCCTGACGTGGCCCTTCTCACCGGTCCTTGCAGACCATTCTCCACCAGAAGGAGGGAAAGGAGGTTGACCTTCCCACGGACCAGCCGTCTCTTGCTTCTCTGCTGCCCCAGAGAGATGCTGCTACCCAGCTTGTCCTGTCTGCAAACTTCCTGGGCGCTGAGCTCTCCCTTCTGCAGGAGTCTTTCAACCTGGAGATCAGCAATAACATGGTGGGTGATTTGGGCTTGAGATGTTCCTCAAGAGGCCACTACAGAAATCCACACCCAAGTTCAAGGCAGATCCATGCGCTGTCTCTTCCTCTTCCCTTCCCCGTGTTAAAATCCCCCGCCCCAGTCAGGTGAGCTCATTAAGTCTCTGCCCTGTGACACTTTCTCAACAGGTCCTTGGGCTTCCCCCGCTGGTGACCACGACGCTGGGAGCCCTCCTCCCTGAGGTGGGTGGACATTGCTTGATCCTACTGGTCTGTGGGTCATCTCAGGCTACTTACAGCAGCAGATACAGCTGCTCTCCTTTCCCAGAGACCTGCCGGGGACTTTTCCCCCAGGCCAAATGGGTGCTCTATTTTATTAGTAAAACTTGCAGTAATAAGATCATTTATGGGACATACTACTGAGCAGTACGGACCAGCTTGACTGACTCCCCCGGCTTTGGTGAATGTCACCGATGCTCAGCGCCCACCAGGATAATCCCCAGAGCAGTGAACTGGGGAGAAAACGGAATGTCACCCCTTTGCTTTGACTCCTCACAGATTTCCAGGCTGCTGCCTCCGTCACAGCCGGTGCTGATTGAGATGCGAGAGGCGAAAGCACCACTGGTGACCATCACCCCGGACAAAAGCTCCGTGCAGCTCTTCAGCACCGCTGAGTTCCGGGTTTCCCCTTCGGACTCTGCTCCCGAACCCCTCTTCGTCCTGGATGTCGTGAGTTGAAGCCTTTTGCAGCAGGCGAGGACTGAATGCGCTCGCCCCTGCCCTGGCCAGCAAACCCCCACCGACCCCGGAGCGGGGGGTGCGGGACAGCGGGCAGGGACGGCTGGATGGGGGTCCTGCGGGGCTGGAGTGGGGGGGGACCAAGGTCCTGATGGGGACTCCCTTATCCCTTATCCCTTATCCCTTATCCCTTATCCCTTATCCCTTATCCCTTGTCCCTTGTCCCTTGTCCCTTGTCCCTGTCCCTTTCACTGTCCCTATCCCTATCCCTGTCCCTCTCCCTTGCAGCACAGTGACCTGGACGCACACTTTGCCGTCGCAGAGGAAACGCTGTGGCTCTCCCTGTCCCTGCGGAGGTACCAACGGCGCTGCCGGTCCCCAGTGCCCCCCGGCGGGTGCCAGTCCCTGCGCGGGGGCAATGCCACGCGCTGCCTTTTCAGGAGGAACCTCTGCTGCCTCTGCCTGACTTCTCCATGGTTTATGCTAACAGCTGTTGAAATTAGATGAGGGTCAACGCGACATAATGCTGCTGACCTGAAACCTGTTCGGGTTTTTTGGCTCTTTAAGTCTGAAGAGCTGAACTTGGCTGAGGATGGAGAAATGCCCCCGGTGGGATGCAGCCCCCCCACCCCAGGATGCT